AAAAAAGATTGCCTCACATTGGCCAAGCATTTTTTTTTTTAAACTTAATAAAATAAAGGGGTGATTTTTTCTAAAGATGTTTTTCAGCATTTCTTCCCTGTTGATGAGTTAGATTTTGCAGTGTTACGAAAGTGCTAAAAGGCAAATTTTACGTGAGGTAGGTTACCATGACCTCAAACAGACCTAATGAGCTAGAAATGCTGTAATAATGATAGTGTGATCTTTGCAATAAGTGATGGAATATGATCTGATCTAAACACACCCAATTATTCCAGCAGTTACTAAATCTGCTGTTGATTTCAGTGAGCATTATTTTTTATTATTCCTAATTTTTTGTCTAATATTAACAACTAAACCCACTGTCGTACGTATAACTCCACTGTGCTCAGCAGACATGTACATTTTAGAATAGACGTTTACTCTCAACTACTCATGGTTTAAAACAGGCAGTGGCAAGGCCAGTTTTCTATGACTGGAAGCATGGACTTCTGCTAGAAGCATTAAGCTTACACTGACAATTTTTTTAATGCTTTTTTGTGTTTTAAATAGAAGTTGAAGGAAAGTTAAAAAAATCTTAATCAGAGTCTCTCACTGGGGTTCCTTATCGTTATTATAAATTAAATAAGTAATGATAGTTGTCAACACAAGTGCTCCCTGTCTGCCGTTAGAGTGAGCATTATTTAAGACTTACTGATTTATTACTAGTAATTTTCAGCACATGCATTGTTTGTGGACCGGGTCAGTGGAAACAGTTTAGGAGATGAAAATATGCTGGTCTGCCGCAGAGCGCAGATGCCCAGGCAGCAACGTAGTCTTCCTACGCTCCATCACCTGCGCTCTTCATCCCTGAGGAAGGATAGCCCCCCTCAGTGGGAATACATTTTAATTTTACTGCCAGCTCAGTACTTTGTTGGAGTGAGAAACCAACAAAGTGCCGATTAATTTCTGCCAACGTCATGACGGGTTTTTTTCACGTGCAGCTGTCTGGTTGGAATCAGGCTGAAACTACCCGTTCGTTTCCACTGTTCCCCCAGTCTGAAACCATGATGTAGCCCATGGTGCAGACTGCAGTTCCAGTGAATATCTGAGACAGATTTTCTTCGTTTAATAGCATAGGTAATTCTGATACCGTATATCCAAAAAAAGAATTGGGAGGGGAAAAAAAAGGAAATGATCATACACCTAATAAATACCATGCAATCAGTTTCTCCTTACTTCATGAAAGTAAGATTTTTTCCCAATAGTTATTTTCTGCATATAATTGGTTTTGGAACAATAGTAACTAAAAATGCAGAAATTTCCAATGCAAATTTAAAATGTCATATCTGATTTTCTGCTCAGTTGTGTAGCTCACATGCCTCTACCCTTAAAGGTGCCTACAGTAGCTTCACTTTTAAATAACAACACTAAAATGTACTTTTAGAAACTTTTGCACATTTCTGTAGCCTTGTTTGCCCAGAATAACTGTCATAGAATATATTACAGTAGATTTATATATCTTCTAGAATACCTACACCAAAATTCATTAATTATTCTGGCAAATAATGACTTTAATTACAGAATACAGTGTCCATACGTGGAACTGTTCTGGAAAAGCTTGGTTTATCTAGTCAACTTCTCTATAAATAATACCCTTAGTGGTAATCACTGAGGACTAGAAATATTTTCACAAGTTGCTATAAAAGAATAACTAGCTGCTAAATGAATCTTCCCAGTGCCTGTTCAAAGGATGACTCATCTGCTCCAATATACTTGTGGGAATGACAGTCAATATTCTTTGACTTGGAGGTCTCACATACCTTTTTAGATAAAGCATTTAAAGTTGTCTCTATTCTTAGTGGTAATCACTGAGGACTAGAAATATTTTCACAAGTTGCTATAAAAGAATAACTAGCTGCTAAATGAATCTTCCCAGTGCCTGTTCAAAGGATGACTCATCTGCTCCAATATACTTGTGGGAATGACAGTCAATATTCTTTGACTTGGAGGTCTCACATACCTTTTTAGATAAAGCATTTAAAGTTGTCTCTATTAAAAAACAAAAACAAAAACCAAAAAAACCAACAGAAAATTTCAAAAAAAAACAAAAACAAAAACCAAAAAAACCAACCAGAAAATTTCAAAGCTAAGAAGGTCTTTATCAAGAAACCTGTAATCTTGGTGATAATTCATTCCATGAATAAGAATATAAGAAAAAAATACTATCTTTACCAAAGATTTAAAAAAAAAAAAAAAAAAAGCACTTAATAGAAGCATTAAGTCCCCGGGAGCATTAACCACATTACCAAGCAGCCCAGAGACACTGAAGACAGTGGCTGGTCTCAGCTGGATGTGACCCTGAACAACCTCGTCTGACTTTGAAGTTGACCCTGCTATGAGCAAAGGGTGGAACGAACGACCTCCAGAAGTCCCTTCTAAGATGGTTGCAATTATCACTAATAACTAGTAATAATCACTGGTAATAATATTTAATTGGTAATCTTCAGGCACCGTAAATATGCTCTTTATTGTTTTGGATGTCCATTAAGAAACTCAGCTCAATGTAATTAATTTAAAGGGTCAGGGAATTTTTAATTATTTTGCAGTAAGTCACAACCTCCATTTTAAATAAGTTTGCTAAAATGAGCACAGATCTATAGCGTTTATAGGATTACTAAGAAATATGTAACACTGATTTTTCTGTCATACAAGTAATCATTTCATTTGGCCAAGACAAGAGATTACTTGGGGAAATCATCATCAGAATTAGATTTTATATTAAACATTATTGATTATATGAATCAGATTATATAAAATATCTGATTTCCTATACAGGACTTACAGTTTATTAAATAACAGATATTCCAGAGGGTTAGTCCTAAAGCATTACAAAGCTTTGACGCTATTACTTTTACTTCTGGTAATACCTAGGCCATTTCAATTGAAGACCATTATGCATGTGAATTTTTGGAGTAGGTGTGCTACACAGGATTCAACAACAGAAGTAGGATATTGGAAGCTCCGGTCTGAAATGTTTTCTGCAACAACCCTGATGTTGTACTATGGCTAAAAGAGAAAAAGGCTCAGGGGACAGCAGGACAATGTAGTCGATAAAGATTGCTTTTCCTTTTTTAGCTCCTGATTTTTATATGTATTCTCTAATGTCCAGTCCCTTTAAAATCTTTAGGACAAGCCTAAGTGTTCCTAAAACTACTAGAACTTTAACAGTGAATTAACTGTGCAAGTAATTTGCCTGTGTGTGCTTGAAACTTCTTTAACATAACTTTAAAGCCTGTGTTTCAGGAGGAGGAGGCGGAGGAGGAGGAGGAGGAGGGTGGTGGTGTCTCAGGTGCATGGAATTACAGTCTTTCAGTAGGCTGGGGTTGTCATGCCACCTCAGTAAGTACAGCTTTTAGGTACCTTTTGTCATACACTCTGACTATTGTGTTTGCACTTCCTATGTGTGTGAATTGGTGGATCTGAGCAGTAGAGGCAGGTTATTTTTGATCAATACATCGACTGTTTGAGAATCTACCAAACTGACTCGGTTTTTCTTTCTTCCGTGTTCTTGATTGATAAGGAAAAAGCACAAAAATGCAAGAATATGATGTAATGATGTGATTATATCACAACTTGACTGATTCAATTGCAGAAGACTACCTAACAGTAAATGGCACAGTGCAGGTCATCATCCTTTCCTTGAATTGTTCTCCATGTGGGGGGACTTTTGGGACAGCCATCCCCCCCAGCCGATTTCTCTTCACTCTTGACAAATGGGTCAGAAGATACTATGGAAGAAAAATCATGTCCTCCTTCCACATCAGATGTTTGAAGCCCCAGTCTTTTTGTCGTAGCATCCCTGCAGGTCTTCCACTAAGGTGGACGTAACAGTGAAACACACCTTCTTCCAAAAGACCTATAAGCCTAGACCCCTAACGCCAACCAGGTTGTGACAACTGCAATATACTCACTACCCAGCTGAGTTCCTTGTAGGTAGAAATGAAGAAATAGCTCTCTCCCCACTAATAATCACCGCTGTGTAGGCTGATGTGACCATTAAGGAAAATTCTGTTCAGCTCAGAAAGGACACAACCACTGCAGTACTCACAGAAGATGATAAAAACGTGGTCCAAATCTGATGTTCAAACCTAGGCAGATGAAAACAGAGAAAAGATTATAACAGAAAAATAGGGAGAGTATAAATACCATTTCCCGGATCAGGGCCCAAAGAAAAGCTTTCTTTCCTCCTCCCGCAATCCCGTCCCCTTTACTTACTCTCAGCTCCAACACCGAGCACCATTCTGCTAAGGATTATCACTCCCCACTACCCCAGCCCCAAAGCACGTTGACCAAAGGAGATGAAGCTCTAAAGAGACATAGCTAATTCTCTCACCGAGAGACAAAATGCTTCTACATGTAGGTAACACATTATGTAGGGCCTTTAAGAAATGTAGATATTTAATGTTCTTCCAAAAAAAATCAAGCTGTAAAATATAGCAGTAGAGGTGATAGGAAATAGATACGACACACAAAAGTGTGAGGGCAAAAGAAAAGGCCCACTCTACTGGTAAATATATTTCTTCCGATAACAGAAATATAATTCACTCAAAAGGCCCTAAAACAGGATGTTACGGTAAGATACTCGTCTTTGGTAAGAAATCCCTATTTGTCTGATATTGTCATTTTATCTCCACAGAGCAGATTTAACAGAATATGTTCCTGTTTTGTTCCTGGTGTTAGAATCACATATATTGCTCTAGGATATCTTCTCATCAAGAAAAATTCTATTTTAAACCACGGAAGATAAATTGTTATGCACAGTATTTTATGTCCATTTGGTGTTTTGGGAATCATCAATTGCTTGTTTTCTTGTTCACTGTGGAGTCATGTACTGTTCAAGTGCAACCTAGACTAGTCCAGTAATGGATGTTTGTAATCTATGTCTTTGTCCATATGCTTGCCTGTTTAGAACAATATCACAGATGTAAATAACAAAACCTGATTTTTCCTGATGCATGCAGATCCTCCAAAGTTTGATAGGATATGGCCGAATATTTCTTCCCTTGAGGTTTCTAAACCAAACCAAGGTAGGATGCTGTAAAATTCCTAGTGGTCTAAAGTTACTGACATTGCTTTCAAGGAGTCCCACATGGTGGCAAAAGTAGTAACAATGATAATCCAACTCATTTTTCTTCTGGTGCTAAGTAATGCTGTCCTGTGAGAAAACAAGCCTAACCTGAAAAGTCTTCCAACGCTCAGATTATGCACATCATCACTGCAAAAAGTCTGGAAAAGCAGACGCGCAGGTTATAAGTACTGATATACAGAAAGCCCTAGATAACGTTGGACTTGTTTAGACAGCAGTCTATATTTTGAGTAAGTGTTGAGATTCTTGAGTGAGAAAGATTGTCATTGTCTACATCAAACCCATTTTTAATGTCTTGTTTCCACTTTGTTTTCCCAAGCGAGCCGAGAGGCATTCTCAGCTTGCGTGCCATCCACAATACAAACAAGTTCTCTGCAGGGATAGACTCGTAGTGTTCTGCAGCTTGAGTGCCACACAAAAAATTACTCACAGATTGTGGTATGACCATTAGCACTGAGAAAGACAGAACAACTTTTTAACATGACTAATAAAAGTAAGATTCTGTGTTACTTGAAGTGGTATTCAGCTTTACTTCACATTTCAAAATGATTGTTCTTTATAAAAAATAACATCCTTTTGTTCTCCTTATTTACTGCCCTTTGCTCCCCCCAAAAAATCCCTGCAGAAATCTGGCCTGTGGCTTGCTTTGACTGTTCAAAGGGTGACCTTTCTGTGCCGTAACACATACAGATGGAGAACAAAATTAATGAAAAGGTGATCTAGAAAATAGCTACTAAACTGAACAAGATGTATTGGAATCTGTTGGGGAATTACATTGGAAGGGCTGTAGTTAAATCCATTGATCACAATGGCCAAATCAAAACATACGCACATACGTATAAAATCTCCCACGTTATACGTGCAAGTTTCTATGTGCCTAACAAAATAGAAAATACTAATTGATCTGTGCTCTCTATAAGGATTAGCAATGTACTTTAGTTTGCATTATTCATATATATGTTAAATTAAATATCCCTGATAAAGTGATACTTAGCATTCCAATAACTTCATTTAGCCCATGCTATATTTCCCAAGCTTTTGCATGTGTTCCTTAAACAAACAAAAAAAACCCCAGATTCATCTCTGCTCCTCTGCTCTCTATAAGGATTAGCCTACATTATTCACAGGAATTTTAAATCAAAACATTTCCAGTGAAATGATAGTCAGCTTTTCTAATGGATTTCATAGCTTAATTATACCGCTTGTGATCTAAGACTTAACTTCATTGCAAAATACATCTTGAACAGCACAAAATTATTCTGTGTTTCTTCCCCAAAAATAAGAGTTTTAGTAAATTTAGTTTCGATGTTTTGTTAGGGAGCACAAAACACAAAAACTTAAAAGCATTTCTATTCAGATTATGTGTTTGCAGCATATTGTTACAGCGTTTAACATTTATTGTAGATTAAATACTTCAGTCAAGGATAGCATATGAAGAGAATAATTACAGAAATCTGCCCATACCTAATATTATTTGATTGTGTTTTCTTTGTTTATGCTATCAGGCCAGAATAAATATGCATGTAAATTTAATAAAACCCTTTGCAGACCACTCTGGTTACCATATAGTCATTGGTCATGGACTGGGAGAAACCATCAAATAACCTCTAACTCAAAACTGCCGAAGTGTGTAGAGGTGAATTACATTCCCTTTCTTTCTCTTGGATATTACAGTTCAAATGATTCAATAGTTGATAGTATAGAACTCATTTTCCCTAACTTTCACCCTTTCCTTACAAAAGAATAACCATTGTTAAAGTTAATTGAAAAGTTAGAAAATAAGGAAGTTTATTTTAATCTTTTGATTTGTTCCTGTATGATACCTTTTCTAATTTACTGTTCATTTTATTACCTATCCAGTCGCTCCCAAATTAGCTATGTCAACTGTTTCTTCTGTTCAAGTTGCAAACCACAAGAGAGGTAGGAATTCTTGGATTCATACAGTGATTCCATAGTGCTCTGTGTTGTGAAAACATTACACTGTATGAATCTGGAATATCTGTGAAGTGTACCCATCAGCTTACTGGTGAGGCATCTTCATTGACAACAAGAGAAGCATTAAGTCGCATAAACATAAGCCATACAAAGAAAATAATAAATCTGCTGCTTAGACAGTCGCTGCTGGCATATAAAGTGACGTGGCATTTGTTTTTAAAGGAGTTAAATGTACGAATGTGACCATTCAGACTGTTGCCTAGAAAGCAAATGTTTGCTAGAGTCTTGTTTTCCTCACTGATGTGCATAAATTGTAAAAGAGGATACATAAGCAGATTAGTTGAGGGCAAACAATACATTAAACGTCATTGTCCATATCCTCAAGAAGCATCTGTAAATGCCATGGAGTGTAATGCATAGTTATGTCTTTTAATGCATTGTAAGTGTGCCTTACATCTTCATTTTATTGTAACAGTGTGCAAATTCGGAGTGTAGGCATTACATTTTGAACTGATGTTTCAGTGTTTTATCAAAATAATGGAATTATACGGGCATAACGGAGGACGCCAATATTCGCTCTGACTTACAGGCAGCCTGTTTCATTTGCATATCTGTCATTCACAGTCTGAACCCTGAGATCTTCTCATTGTTCTTCCTCATCAATTTATCTGTAAAGAGTATGTATAAAGATGTTTTGTCTTTCTGTAGCTATTGTGGATATCTCATTATTCATGAAATACATGTTAACAAGGAATAGGGATATTAACAAATGTTTGAACTTAGTGTGACCCATTCAATGAGATCATGATAACGAGCCGTACTGTTTGTTATGAAGCAGGTCATTTCCAAGGTTACAATGAAATCTCCTTTGTTTGCCTTCTGTTAGTGCATAGAGGAGGAACAGAGTTACTGGAAAATGAAAAAGAAAAAATATTTTAATGGTTTCTGAATGCACTTTTCTTGAAATACTTTTTGTGCTTTTAATTAGGAAATGACACCGATAGCTGTCTCCTGCATTACCTGTCTCAGTTTAAAATTACGCTTCCCTTCCATGTGTGTTTACCACTGTTTCACGTGATGATGTTTCATGTTTCACTGGTTGCAGCTGAAGCTTCAGCTGAACCTTGTCCCCACAGCACAATAGTATGTCATCTCAAAGACGTAAATGCATAGCATTATAATGGGGGGAAAAAAGTATTCCATTTATAGAAACAAAACAATTAAACGATCAACTTCTTTATGAGCCTCCTTCAATGGGTAATTTTACCATGTTTTCTACAACAGGATCAAGATTGTTGCAATAGAATCATTGCGTTGGAAATAGTCTTTAAAGGCTCATACAGGCAATCCTTCTGTGAGTTGGCAAAGGATTTGACAATTCCTGAATCATCCAAAGACAATTACCAAATCTAACATGTCTTCCTCTTCTCCCTTTTCCCTTCACTTTAAACCTATCCTAGCTATCTTTACCTCTCCTCTGAGGTTTTATTCTCCAGACCATTTACTCCTTATTGTTATTCTGCTTTAAACTGTCTCCAGTTTATCTGTGTCTTTTCTGACATGTGGTACTCAGAACTGAAAGCAGCATTTTCTAGCGCTGTAAGCTCACGTCATTTCATTGTTGGTAAACCATTTGCAGCCCGATTTTGATACTTCCCCCCATCTCTTTCAGTGATTGCATAGCTTTGCCAGTGCATGAAAGTGGTTGGGCTGCTAGCCAGAGACATGTGCCTGAAGACCTTAAGCTGTGCTTCTGACAAGTCTAATGAGCAGGCTACTGTCTGGTCTTGGTGTGCTGGTTAAGGTGAACCATGTAAGCTAGAAAGGCCATACAGCATTGATGGGTATTAGCTTCCCGGCTGGCATGATGCTGAATGCAGTTCTACATGTTATGTTTGACTGGTTTAGGGTAGCACCTCATGTAGCCAGTGGAGAAAATAATTCCATTTCAATCATATGAGGACCCTTTACATAGCTTTTGTTATAAACACAGAGGGATGTAAAAATGATTCACTGATCAGGCCAACAGCAGTAAGCAAAATAAGTTCTTGTTACAGTTCTTGTACAACTGAACGTTGTACAGTTCTTATTATTGCATTAGCAAAATGGGGGGGGGAGGAGCAAAAATTAGCAAAAAATTTATTTAATCGTTACTCGCCATGCCTTTTTTTCTTCCTTGGCGCCATTGCTAATCTTTGACGTTAGACTGTTTTTGAGTTAACTGGGCGTTTCCCTATACCATGTTGCATTTACCAGTCTGATGATCAAGATTCCTAGAGCTTTCCTGTATCTTGGTATAAGTTAGCTTGGGGACAAGGGCTTTCTTTCACACAGCACAGTTGTTACAGAAGAGCAGTACCCGTAAGAATGCAACCAAGTATAAGAATTGGTCTCATTGTTTACCTTTAAAGTTGATGAGCCACATCTGAACTTGGGTAGTCCTTCTGCGTAGTTTGGTATACAGACATGCTCCTAAACGTAAGTCCTTCGTAATTATTAGATGTTTCTTCAGTCCAAATCATAACTTGGAGCAAGCCTTGTTACAGAGTGAATTACTTTATGTACAGCTTTGTTTCCTGTGCTTTTGTAACAGCTAATTATGTGTGGTAGTAATATTATTGAGGGTCACATCACAGTTTCAGAGTGGAAGTAGTGCAGTCAGTCATTCACAGAATATTCTCAATTTCTTTCTGCTACTTTAAACACAAAACATGATGTAGCATAGTCTGATTTACTGGCACTTCTTTATAGTCTGCGTATTTTTGAAACATTAAAAGGTAGTATTCTGCTGCCCGTTACAGATTTGAAAAACAAGGTAAATTATTTCCTCTAAATTCACCTGCAGTACGTTTAAGTTTAGCCACAAGTCTGACAAACGTACCAGTATGGTATGCTGCTGGGAGGCTGAATCATACTGACCAGCTGCGAAAGGCAACAAACATTAACACTTTTTTCCTCCCCCCTCAACGTCAAGTGGTAACATACTGAGACTGATACACCAAATGTTTCGCTGTACTCCAGCAGTTACAGGCATCAAAATTATCAGATTGGCGTGAACCACAAAACATCGGTTTAGCAGTGTAACATTGACGAGAACAAGAATGCATCTGTGTTAACTAAATGTGTATATGTAAATTGAATTAATGTTTCCTGGCAGCAGAAAGGCAGCTCTCAACATTGAAACATATGTTGTGCTAAGCGTTGTACGGTATAAGAAAAGACGCTATCTATTTACAGTCCCCTACATCAGACAACAGCCAAAGAAATACGTATGTATTAGCTGTGCACAACATACTCATAAACATGTACTGGTATTGCTGTTTCTTCATAAAAATACAGACAGGCACAGATACTGTATCTGACGCCCTATGCCGACAATCGGTGGGCTCATTAGGTGCCCCAGCATAATCGGCAGCATACCATAGGAAAGGCAGCAGAGGGGACGTGGCCCCGTCACGTATGGAAACATTTTACACCCTCTGCTACAGCTTTATCTAATCCCAGGCTAAGTTAACTTCAAGACCTTGAAGCCCTTCCAAGTCGCTGCATCCAGTACGCCATTACTGCAGGAAACATACCATAATCTCTTTCACCAGTTAATAAACTACATCTCTAAAGCATCAGTGTTTTTGCTACAAATTGGAAGAGTGTTCGAGAACCTCAGTGCCCTAAAGGCTAGATACCATCTCCTAATTTCCAGTTGAAATTTCTCAATGGCGGGTTAACACCCATTTGTTCTTGTGCCGGTGTTGTCTGTTAGCGCAGATATTCACTTAGGATGGCAGAAGGCTATCTCCTCGATGTATTTATAGCCCGGTGATATCCCCTGTCTTCAGTTTCCTGGACTAAACAAGCCAAATTATCCTAGTCTTCACTTCTTAAATAGGCTCTCTACTTCTCTGATCATCCTAATAACCTTTCCTGCATTCATCCTGGGCTCATAATCTCAGAGTTGAGTGATCAGACTTACACAAGCTTTCTACATGAAGTGTAGCTGTGCCTTCTAGAGTGATATTGGTACATTTCTAATTTCTACTTCTTTCTGCATAAAACCAAGCATTGCTTCTGATTAGACTAAAAGGCGCTAGCATTCTATGCTTAGTGAAGGGGTTTTTAAAAAGCGGCTGCCGTGCCAGCTGCATTTCAGATGGCTGCAGTAAGCGTGCTTTCTATTCAGTACACATTTCAGAATTTTCATGATCTTTTCTGGCCCAATTGTTTTTCATCTCAGAATATAAAAAAATGGGTTAATGCTTACCTCAGAAGCACAGTAGAAGTAGCTCTGAAATAACACCTCTCTTCTTTCCTTTTCTTCTCTGTTAATTGTTTTAGGAGGTGCCGGCCAAAATTGTCAAACTAGAGATTTGTTTGGTCTTGAAATAAAATAGTCTGGTTCCCAAGGTGCCTACCAGTTACAGTACCCTGAGTACGGCAGTATTTTTGAATACTCACCATTTATGTCAGAACAAAGCTTTTATTTTACTTACAGTTGTGCATTTAGGCATGATGAAGTTCGACAATTTTTGTCCACTGTATTTAATATTTTTAATATGAGGAAGTTTTTCCCATGTCTTGATTTATACTCATCTCAAATGTGCAAAAAGATGTGCATTTCTATCAGCGGAAACTGAGCCTCCAGTACCCCTGAAAGGTTTACAACTGCAAATGCTTCAGTTCCATCAGGTCTGCCAACAACAGCCAACCTGCGACGTCATGCCATGGTCGTCGGGTCACGCTAACCTGCCTGAAACAAACTTCGCTTCCATTGCAGATAAACATCTGCTGTTGTCCATGTTACATTGATTAACATGTATGTGCCATTCATTCATACTTCTGTTCATGGTTCATTTTTACTAAGCATGTAATGTGCTATTACTCTGCTGCTGTATACATTTTGTATACATTTCTGTTCTTCCTTGAAAGACTGCGAATGCTTCGGGCACTCCAACCGGTGCAGTTACATCGAGCTGCTCAATACGGTCATTTGCGTGAGCTGTAAGCACAACACTAGAGGTCAGCACTGTGAGTTATGCAGGCTGGGCTACTTCAGAAATGCTTCTGCAGAGCTGGACGATGAAAATGTGTGCATAGGTCAGTCCCGGGATAACTGCGGCTTTTCTTCTGTGCCTTTTCCGCTGCTGGCAGCTGCTAGGGACCACTGCTGCTTACTTGCCAGTTGAGCCAGAATGAGCTTTTTCAATGGATAAGAACATCTGTGTAGACTTTTCGCCTCATTTCCGTTGCCCCTGTAGCCCCAAGGAGGTATTTTGAATCTGTAGATGACGATGAACCTCCCTGGCTAAGGTCCTGGGAAGACCCTCCCAGGAAACCCCTGAGAAACTGTGCTGTCCTTCTGCAGGAGGGAGCCACACTGGAGCTGCGCATGTGAAAACCGAAGGGTTGAGTCATAAATACCTGTTCCCGGTCTAACTTTCGGAATTATTAGTACAGACTCTTGAATACTTGTCTGGAGACCTACAAAAGTTGCCAGCTGCATCAATAGGACACGGGGAGTGGTGTTTATAAACCCCTTTTATTCACTTAAATTTCATAAAAACTTGTTGCAGCTAATTCTGCTCCCAGGCACAGGGCTGTAAATGCAGCGTTACCTCCCCTCTCCTTAGAGGGGAAACTGAAATTATGCCCATGTGGTTAGGAGCAGAATTTGTCAAATCCGTTTGACATGATGTCTATTTAGAAAAGGGATTCCTAGGTGAAAACAGTGCTTTAGACCTAGCACCTGCTATAAATATCCAAAATGCAGAAGTAAAGAAAATGCTAGAACGTAATTTAAAAAGCATATCGGGGAAAAAATATAAGGTCTTTATCACACTAGAAGAATACGCATTGTTCTCATGTCACCACAGACAGTATATAGCAAAAGTTAGGACACTTTCAGTGAAGATTGAAGGTAGTCAATAAAGGAAGCCTCATACGATGGCCGGCAGTTAACAGGTAGCCACAAAAGGCGCTGTTCTAATAACAAACAGAGGTGGAGAATTTGTTATATAATGTTTCTTATAGACATAAGCATCGGTAGAACCTGTTCTGGATTTTCACTGTGATTTTTTTTTTCTTTCCATTTTCCAGGAAGCAAAAAGAATGAGTAGTTATAAGATTTTTTCATGCCAAAATATACTATGGGTGTATAAATTATATTTTAATATTCTTTATAATCCATTGCCGAGATTCAAGCCAGAAACTGTTTAGATTGCTATTATTTGTTTCAGTCTGCAGCTTGACAGATTTACATTTTATTTTGTGATAAACACCCAGATCCATCCACGCACTGCATTTCACGTGTCCTTCTTTTAACTTTGCTTGGCAACACATTCAGAAAATGCATGATCTCCTTTGACATTAATTAGTCTGAGCTAATAAGAACTTTAGTAGGCAAGTCATGATTTTGTATGACTGTGCTGAGGAGATTAACCCAACCAAATGTTCTTGGAAAAGACCCGCTGTCCCTCATACTTGTTTGATGTAGATGACGGACACCATCGGTATGACATCAGGGCTGTATAATTTCAGCTGCCTAAATAGGCCTAATGAATATGACACTAAATTACTCTGTTGGGGATTTTTCATCAGCTCATTCAGTAAATTGTTTTCCCATGTACGCTGAAATGCTAAGACAGCAGCTGTAGCTACGTAAGACAAGGAAGTTAATACACCAGGAGTCAAAAATAAGTAAATTTTAAATTAATTTGCAAGTGATGTATTTAGAATGTCGTAGTAAAACAACTGTGCACTTTGAAATTGCCCAGGCTCTGCAGAAATAAAATTTAAAAACCTTTCATTTAACAGGAGTCTTAAAAAAAAAACCAAACCAAAAAAGCCAACAAAAAAAAAGGCAATATGATGTCTTTGCTGACTTTCCCACCTTAATGCAAGCAGAATTCTCTTGGGCTCCCATGAGAATTGTTCCATGTGAGATGACTATAGGATCAAACCCTGGTTTGCTACATATTAGGTAATTTGTTTTAAATAAATAATATTCTTGTTGGACTAAGACAGTTTTCAGGGTCATAGCGATCATACTGCACACAAAATGTATGTATCCTAGCTGATTTGCCAACTTAAGAAGAATTTCATGCTACTTCTTGTTTAAAGTCAGTGAAGTGAAGCAGATACCTAAGCACTTTTCAGAAAACAGAGTAAGTTTGTGCTCAAAGTGCTTAGGAACTGGGGCTCCCAAGATTTAATCCTGCAAAGTGTAGAGTATTTTCACCTCTGAGAGAGGTTGATGGATTCACCATCCTTCTAGGTCAAGCACAAAGAGTCTTGCTCTATTGGAAACGCTCATTTCTCTTTTCTCTGAGTTTAAAAGCAGTGTTTGGGGGTTTAAGTATGAGTGGAATGTTGGCATGAACATTTTAATAAGCAGATTTCCAGTGACCTGTGCAAGTCTTATTCCCGTATGAAAGTCTCATTTTTCCAGGCTAATTCTTTCCTCGTCAGCAATATATGTAGAAAAGTAAAAAATGTTTGGATAAGCTAGTTTAATGGCAGCTAACAGGGCTTTGGCTCTGATTTATCAAAACTACTTATATACTTTTCATAAATATATATGGTAAGTACATGGATAACAAATCTGTGAATCTCAGCCGATGCTAACTAAATGTAAAAATGTAAAATGTTTCATTTTTAAAACTGACAAGTTACAAAGAATTGAAATACTGAGAAGGTTTTTACCAGTGAACCAAATGCAACTCATTATACAGTGGGCTTAAATCTAATTTCATTATGCCCTTAATTTCTTTAGAAGCAAAATAAATTTTATTTTTCAAAATGAAATATCAAAAACTTGTGGATTTGTCAGTTAACTGCAAAATTACCTCATCTGGGCAACTGCAGTTTCTAAATAAATCAAGGTAATTGAAAGTTAAAAATCATTCACTTGACATGCTTACAGTGAAAAATAATTTTACAACTTGAAGAGCTTTTTATTTTTACAAGGTCTTGATAAAGTCCTAACAACTCTATTTCAGTGAATACACACACTGGCAAGCATGGATAGCATGGAAACCACCAAGTAGACCCAGAGTAATAAAACATTTCCTTTGCCTTACAACATAAATACTGAAGTGGAAATTATTGTCACACCTATAAGAAAGCCGACCTTGCAGTCACTTAGGCTTAAGCTTCAGTTAACACCTGTGAGACCTTTAGAAAGCCTAATGATACATGGTTAAGTGAACCCTGAGGGTTGTCCTGTAGCCACTGTCAACCCAGACTGATAAGCAGCAAACCTGCAAGCTTCAGCCCATTTTCCCAACCTTCTTTTTTACTGATTTTCACTGTGTTTTGTTGGCAGCATCACATTGATATAGTGAATCTCAGTGAACAGATGACTACTACTGTCATCTTCCCATCCTTCAGACAGTCACCAGATGGAGGTTAAGAGGAAAATTCCTTCCCAGTTCAGATCTGCAGGGGTTTTTTCCCCACCCTGGAACCTGGTGTGTGGTCTGCTTATTAGGGTGATCTGGGAATGTTAACTTAATGTTATTTAATGCCCTGTTGTAAGGGCATTGGAGATACTGACTGCCTCCCTGTGGCACACCAGAATTGTGGCTTTTGAGATTTTTAATGTCTTAAGTATTCGGCAGGTCTTGGGAGGTGTTCCACAGCCTGTGATACTGTGTTGGACAACGAGCTTGGATGTTCGGTGGACCTCTGTAGGTTATGTATCTATGGTATCAATTGTGTATTGGGAAGGATGGAGGCTAGATTCAGTTACTAAAGGTTACGGGGTCTGTGTGGTGTTCTGATTTGATCTACTACTTTTGTAAAAGGGCCTGGCTTAAAGTTTTGTTTCCACTATCTACTTTCCCTTTCACAGCACTATGTGGGCCTGGTACTTCTTACGTATTTATATTATAGAGTTCAGTAGGAAAACTTTCACTGATTCAGGGTCAGCTTCTTGTTCTCTGGAAAATATAACGTTACGTGTCTATAAACATTCAATATCACAGGCCACAGATTTCTTTCACAAACACTTGTTTAAATCACTGTAACTCCATTATGTTCAACTAAGCTATTTTTAATGTACAAGAATCGGGCCTTCTGTTTCTAATGTAATTCCAAGCTTTTTGTCTTTCAAGGTTTTCTATAAACACTCTCCAAGCAAATTTTACTTCCTGCATTCAACGTCTATCTCAGTTCTATGCCTGTTTACATAAATATTTCATACATCTGATTAACATCAGAATTGCCAGCTTTTCAAATGGCACTCACTGTGCTATAATTCTGCTCAGCCTTGCACAGTATTTTTGGCGTGTCAGTTTTCAACTTTATTAATGAATGTTGCTAGCTAATTGACTCTAATAATAATTGTGGAATTCTGTTTGCCAAAGGTAACTATTCTTCTTCAGCATGCCAAATGTTCAAAGTGCCATCTGTAATTTAGAGTTAATAAACACTGAGACAACAGATGACAAATGTCTTCCTGGTAATTTTTTTCCTGTTACAGTTTTTCCTTTGGAATTTTTTTCGTATTTTACTTCCCAGTTCAACTCCATTTTGTCATTTACAGTATCGCTGAGGTTTAACCTAATGCTAGGGAACAATTGCCAAAGGCAGTCATCAAAGTAGCACTGATTCACAGACATATAAAGCCAGACTCCCAGCAGGTTGCCCAGATTCAGGAATCAATTTGTGTATCTTTTGCCTTCAACAGCAGCAGAGATCAGACGCTGCCAAAATGTGTCTGTGGTCTCAGTTGACAGTGGAGTTACTCTGGGTCTACATGGGTCTACATACAAATAAGATACAGCCCTTCATTTAAAAAAAAATTAATAATAAATGTACTGAAGGACAGGAGGCCAAAAATGAGCTCTGCTAGCTACTGTCTTGTTTTCTTTGTTCAGCTAGCTGAAAGCTGAACACAGATACTGTAATCACGTTAAAGAAAAGGGCTGTGAACGAACAACACAGTAAGTGTTGTGGGAGGGAATGGGTTACCCTAGTCATTCTTTAATTAGGTGAACACACGTGGAAAACATACAGTGGGCTATGAGCCTCATTGCATTTTCCATCTGCCCACTGGGAGGTGAGAGAAATGAAAACGGCAGCGTAAAGCCAGTTCTGATAAGTTTTGCATTACGTTACTGCTCACCTCAAGCTTTTCATTGTGGAATATGTAAAAGGTTTATTAACGTCACTGATAAATACAATCTCATCAATTTAATGGCAAATATCCACATAAATTATTATACTGCTCAAAACTATAAAGGAAGACTATCTTGGAAATAAGTAAAGTGCATTTATATAGCCCTGTAAAGACATTCAGCACTTCCGAAAATATTGAGTAATATAGATAAGCCTATTTTAATAATGCGAAACATTTCACCCTGACGGCACATTGATATATCTGTACTATACAAAGCCTTTTTAATGTTCATTAAATTGTCAAAACCATCCTTACCAAAAGAGAATCTGTTACAATCACTTATCCTCAAAGAACATGGTATCTTCTGCCTTTATATCTTTTCCGTTTACTTTTTCTCTCCCCATCATAAAATGTCTCTTCCTGAAATGACATATGCAAACAAATAAATGGACCTATAGTAGTTATGTTCACTACTCTAAATATCCTTAACAGACAGTCTTCCTTTACCTTTAGCACTGGAAATGCACCCTTTATTGGTATTGAATGAATTATCACCATATGTAGACCTGAATCCAGTGTGTATGTGTTGTCTTGTTTCTGCAGACTGTTATTGTAACCCTTTTGGTTCAGTCCATGATCGCTGTAATGACAGAGGATTTTGTGAGTGTAAGGAGGGAACATCAGGGCCTAAATGTGATAAGTGTCTGCCGGGATATATCTGGCACAGCTTGGGCTGTCAACGTAAGTAACTCTGAGAGTCGCCCCTCTCCTGCAACTTTGCTGCCTCTGCGCCTGTATGCTATCACGTGCAGCTACTTAAGAGCAGAAAATGAGCAAAAGGCTCTACGAGCTGTAAGAGCGCCATACTGCCTGAACCTTTTTGGAGACTCCCAGATGAGGACAGTAAATTGACTGTGCCATCCATTTATTTCTATATGTTTTCAGTGTCCGCTCTCTTTCTCTTGCTAATGCCTTGGAGGAGCTCCCACTGCAATATGTAAATATGCGTGTCTTGCCAACTGTGAAATAAGTTTTGTATACTAAAACATCAGCATATTAACTCCAAATTTAAAATTCTTACTAAAAGACAAAAGGTGATTTCTCTGCATGTTCACTTTTTTCTGTACTAAACTTCAACTTCTTGAGTAACTTAACTATGCTTTCATACTTTAAAACTATGTCCCTGGACAATAAAACTGCAGAACGCTGGCTCATTACCTGTTATAATTAGTGAAAACTAGACAAAAGCTAAAGGTAAAAAAAAATGGAAGTATACTTAGCATCCTTAAAAATAAGGGCTGAAATTTTGCATAAATACTGCTAGAGCAGATGTTGTTTCAATGCTTAGTTGTATATTTAGCTTCCCTTCTGGTTAACAGGTCTTGTAAACAAGCGAGTGGAAATACCACATGGGTGTCTACAGGATTAGACTTTTATTGCGAATTTCTTTTGTACTAAATTTATTATTTATAACTTAAGATTTATTCTTTATAACTGTTTTGATCATCTACTTCCGGAAACTCTGGAGAGTCCTCCCATGTTCTTCTTTCACCTTTTCTCCCTGCCTCTCTGCATTCTTCCACACACACATTAAAGAGATTTCTACAAGAGCTTGCTTTTGATTTTTAAGAGTGAGAATGTAATTACTGACACCAATTAGTCAAATAGTATAAAATTGGCCATATAGCCACACAAATGCTTTAAATGCTCTAAAACAAATGCAAATCTTACATCATAACTTTAAAAACAAAACAAAAAAAAACCAACAAAGCTAGGGATTACCGCTGCCTCTCCAAGTGATGAGTACCTCTGAAGTAGAAAATCTGGGCTTGTGACCATTCAGCAAATATATCTGGAAAGAAAACCAATAAATAAAGAATTTCAGGAAACATTGTGATAATTAACCAATTAGCATTAAAGCTAGTACATGAAGAGAAAGGAAGTTTGCATGGGCAACGCAGTGAAATGTTACCCGAGAAAATTGGACTTTCTCAGCTTCTGCCAGAAAGCTCCTGTTTATATTTGGCAGGTTATTTAAACCGTACTTTTCACATGTGGTTGTTAACTGTATTCCCATTTTCTGAATACTTGCACTTGAGTTTTGATTCACAAAAGTATTGAGCACTTACAGTTGCAGCAGAAAGCAGGCGAAGTAGTGTTTCAAATCTCGGAGTTCTCGATTATGAATATTTTGAAAAATCAGATCCTAGGTATCTCAAAAAAAGCACTCAGAAATCATAGGCTCTCCCTCTGCCTTGCACCCCGTATGTAGAAGCAGGTTGTCCTTCTACAGGAGGTTATGATTCTCTGCAGTAGAATTTGAATAAAGTACAGTAAACTCCATGTCCACACAGCGGGTCTAAGAAAGATGTTAAGTAGCTGAGATATTGAACAGGTCGGCAGGTCTGTGGAGCAAATTTTACAGTCATATAATTAATATAATATATATACCAGCTTGTCAAACCAATTGCTTATTAAATGCAGTATTTCCTATCTTTTCAGGTTTGGACATTATAACCCCAATAATGTTCTTTTAATGAGGTTTTATGGAGCCCAACATATAATTAGCCTGATTTTAGCTGAATCAGAGTATTTGTAAAAGCTTTAGACAGTTTCTGGAAATGCAAGCTAGTGCCTTTATATTTGCTGACAAAACTAATTAAGTTTCCCTCACTATGTGGTAATTTTCTGAACAAATCTCAGTCTGATTGTGTAACGGTTAGATATTCTCCAAGTTTGACTAAATTATCTAATCAAATTCAGAAGAAAAACAACTAGATGCGGTTGTCAGTTTTATGGAACAGACATCAAATTGCCATGTTTTACCAAGCACACGCTGATTTAAATCTCATTTCAAGTCTTTTCATGGAGGAACAGAATTCCAATTCATTTAATTTTGTAGTGTGCCAATTTGAGCAAAGCTCAAAAAGATGATTTGTCTGGACATGTTGCGTGTGGTTTTGATCTGTTTGCCTGAGCTTGTGCTGTACAGAAATGTATATATGCAAAGATGGATACACACACACACACACACTCAACAGACCAATATGTGTTTGTTTACTTTTTGTTATACGTAGCCTCTTGGCATTATTAAGAAAAATCTATTCTTACGGAGCTTTGTTGCTAAAAACCTAGGGCAACCAGAAGCTTGACCTATAAATAAATAAGTTAAATCTATACCATAGCTAGTTTAATTACTTGTATGATTGTATTAGTAAATGGAGTGTCTTAGTTTTATATATTAGTAATCCTATTTGGGAAAAACCAACGCTAAAGTCTTGTGGTGTTTTCTAAGGCTCACAGTACATCATTTGATAAATTACTGTTCGTAGTCTCCCTCATACCACAGACGGGCAAAAGGCACAGAAGCTATTCTCCTCAGAAGTACCTCACTCTTACTTATTTCATCTAAAACCTTTGAGGATCTAGGCGGAGCGCTCATCACTTGCGTCTCCGTGCATACAGAGGTCAGATGCAATTTTAGACTTTGCCTCCCAGATAAAAAGCACCGTGATAACAGCTGTTATCTTACTGAATTCAGGGTTTATGCTGCATAGGCAGAGCGGTCAGCAGGGTCCGGTTGGTACAGGAAGGTTTGCTGCTCTCAGAAAAAGAGGCACAATAGATGCGCCTGTGCCTTGTGCTACTTCTAAGCCCTCCCCCAGAACCATTCGTGCCGCAGGCGTCGTGCGTGCGGGGACGCTGCTGGGGTTTAGCTCTCCGCCTCCCTCCCAGATACCGACAATGGTTTTCTCACCAGCAGGCATATATAGATCAAAGCGCAAGGAATGAATTAAGAACAGAACAGCCTGGTCCTGAAACCCTTTTAGAATTCCAGAAACATGAGAAAATACATAGCTATATTTCATTTTTCTATATTATAGAAATTAAACAATTTCCTTTAAAAATGAACATAAAACCAGAAGAAAAACCTCCAAGCCTGGCAAGAAATTTAACCAGCAACTACAGCTGTTTTGGGCCAGCCTTAAACTGAACATGGTGCTTTGTGATAAGAAGAACCTGTAACAAAAGGTAGAAATGTTTACACACAGAACTGCCTGGGTTTTAAAAAAAAATGGATGAAGGCAAGATATTAAGCAGGCGCATTCATTTGATTTTCTAAGTGTACTGCTCATAGTCTTGCAGCTTTTGTATTTCTTGGCCATGACATTTCAGGTGACTAAATTCTGTTGCATACATACAGGAGCATTTAGAAATAGCACCTTTTAATTTCACGCACACAAGAATTGACTCCAAAACCAGCTGCATATATATCCAATCAGGCAAAGAAGAAGTGACTCTTTTGCCAGTCTCAGTTTACCAGCACAGCTCGAATTTTCATTAGGTGTGATCAGCCCACAGGGGAAAAGGTGAGGGAGGGTCCAATGATTATTATTATTATTCACTATCTCCCGTCATATAGTCAAGGAGCAGATAGAGACGTTGAACCTGCAGCCCCCCAAAGGCCTAGACTGAGTACAAGAGTTACCAATGGTAGCTTCTACCTGAGTTAAATTCAGTACGTTATTTATTGTGAATCACTGTTTTAAATCATCTTGGTTCAATGGTGTAAATCTTAAAACAATTAGCGATGAGTTTTCAGCCAGATGCCTTATGTCAAGCTCTGAATACTTTATTTTATTTTACCCTTTTTTGTTCATTTTAAATAGTTTTTATTAAAGCAGGCAAAGGATTACACTCTTATCTTCAGTGCTCAAACTGCGCTCAGTGTTTGTATCTGTCTTCCAGACTGAACTTGTGTTACTCTGCGGCCTGTTAGATAATTCATATTCCGTCACAGTGTGCATTCAACTTCTTATATGATTATTTAAATATAAGCTTTTTTGTGTGCATTTTATCATGTGTTACAAATGTTAGAAGCCGAGGCGTTTGATCAAAATCATCATGCAGATTGAATTGCCAAAGAAAATCAAGCCTGAAATTGTAACCCTGGAACTTATATTAACATTTGCTTTTGGAAGTTTGTGTTTACAGTTCAGCAAGAAAAGATATGTTACTATCCATTTCTTAAAAAAAAAAAAAAAAAAATCTTTCTTGAAAAAATACATCATGCACTTCTTTCTAGACAGATTAAATACATAACTGTAATTGTTATTATAACCCCCACTGAAGGTTAGTGATCTTTTATACATGTTTGTACACAGATGCATTCTGCGAGTCCTTCAACACCTACACACTGACCTTGTGCATGGGCAGCTATATTCTGTAAAAAGAAATAGAAATTCAGAACCGGGATGCCCTGCCTTCCAGTTCACCTTTGCAGCTGCCTCTGTGGGGAGCCATAGACGATCCGTCTGTATCTTTTTACATCTTTTTACCAGTAGCAGTTTTAATGCTTTTAGCTGGTCAGGATAGAGTGGGATCTCCCCTCTGCACGGTGCTGTACGTGCCTCCAGTTCTGGTGTGTGCTGGCGCCAGGACTGGTGCTAGTGAAGTGCACTGCCACGCTTGGAGCTGGAGGGAAGTAAAACGCAGAAAGAATTCATTGAACAGGATGAAGTTCCGATAGGGCTGAACATTGCTGTCCCCAAGGAACAATCTGCCCCTGGTCTTTATACATGAAATACTAATTTCACAATGCCTATCTTACACGATTGTTATGCAGACTAAGGAAATTGTCTGTGTATAGGGGTTTGGATGTAAGAGGAACAGACTCTGCTTCAAATGGCTCCAAGTTTAAATCCAGAATAATTCTCCTGAAATCAATCCAAATCCCACTG